TCAATGTACATCGTCCCTCACCATAATATTTCCCTGCCAAATTCAAAAAGCAGAGATGGTGAGTCGTCGATGCCCAAGGCATCTAATCGTCAAATACCCGCCATGGAAATGATAAAAGCTCGTCCCAACCTTTTTCAACTATAACCATCATCTTCTACCCCTTGCTCAATAAGCTACAAAACCTAATAATTCCAACAATCCGAACAATTTCCCCGCAGAAAATGGCTACGGCTGGCCTCTACCGGAGAGCTCTTCCCTCTCCACCGGCAATTGAGTTCGCTTCTTCCCAAGGCAAGGCAAGTGTATAACTGGAATCGAATCGCTTACATTCAAAGGCATTTATGTCTACTGATGTTGAGAAGCCTATGGGTTTTTTTCGATTTTGCAGCAACTCTTCAAGGAAGCTCTTGCTGCAGGGACTGTGGAAGGTTTTTTCAAACTGATTTCTTACTACCAAACGCAATCGGAGCCTGCGTATTGTGGACTCGCCACCATCTCCATGGTCTTGAACGCTCTGGCAATCGACCCTGGAAGAACCTGGAAAGGTTGCTTCTTTAACGTCGTTGTATCTGTAATTTCATTATTTGATTGCTTTCGGTGTTGCAGGGCCTTGGAGATGGTTTGATGATTCTATGTTGGACTGCTGTGAGCCTCTGGAGAAGATTAAAGCTGATGGCGTCACATTTAAGAAAGTGGCCTGTTTGGTTGTTTGCAATGGGGGTAAGGTGGATGCTTTCAGGACAGATGAATGCATAGTTGATGACTTTCGGAAACATGTAATTTCGTGTACTTCTTCGGAGGATTGCCATGTTGTTGTATCATACCACAGAGGAGTTTTTAAGCAGGTATTGTTTCTTTTTTTCTAGCACTTGTGCTTATTGGGTTCTTTTTGCCAGTGAATTCCTGCTGAAAGCTGGGCTTGATGTTTTGTGCGTAAAAGTTTGAAGCTAAGAATGTTATTATTATGTTGATTATTGACTTAATTCTACAGAAGCTGGGCCTGATGTTTTGTACGTAAAAGTTTGAAGCTAAGAATGTAATTGGTTTGTTGATTATTAACTTAATTCTGTGGATTTTGTCCTTCAAAGTTTGAAGCTAAGAATGTTATTAGCATGTTGAGCATTGACTTCTCTGTTTTAACTCGATTTTTTATATTTATAATTGATATGAAAAGTCTCTGTGATATTTAGTGGATATTGAGAAACTTGTTGGGTGTGAAGAACACTTGAAATTTGATTACTTGTTTTAGAAAGTATTGTTGACAAAAGTGCAGTGATTTTCTTAATGACTTTGTTTGCATTATTGACAAGGCATTACACACCAACTGCTTCATTGAAGGCTGGATCTTTTGCTTTTATTTTATTGCTCTCTTTCTATATAGCCTTGAAGTTTGATCTTTGAGACAACAATTTGATTCATTTTCATTATGCATGATATTTTGTTATTTTTGTTGAAAATGCTGGAATTATTATAGTTCTGGCAAACTTTTGCTCCCTCTAAAGTCAGAGTGGATTGTAGACTGGAACAGGTCATTTTTCACCAATTGGTGGCTATCATGCTGGAATGGATATGGTTCTCATTTTGGATGTTGCAAGATTCAAATATCCGCCCCATTGGATTCCTCTTCCACTTCTCTGGGAGGCGATGAATACCATTGATGAAGCAACAGGACGTTATAGAGGGTGAACTCTCCTTTTCTTAGACTTCCATCTTATTAATAAGCCTAAGATTGGAAGCCTTAGAAACTTACTACTTTATTCTTTATTTTATATTACTGTTATGTTTATAGTACTCTAAGAAATTGATGTCATATCTCATCCTGTCTTTTTTTTACTCCTATGGTTATCCTAATATTGTTTCCTTTAGCGTGGAATAATAATTGGTGCAACTCCTTTTTATGTTTTAGCCTCTATTTTCCTTGGTCTGAGAAGGATTACAACAAAAACTGCCATCTCATTGGTTCTCAAAAGTACTAGCTTATCTGTTACAATATCTAACAGGTTTGATCTAGTCATCTAGTCATAACTTGTGCTTCCTTTTCTCAGGTTCATGATTATTTCAAGGCCTCTCAAAGCAACATCCATTCTCTATACTCTGGTACATTATCTTTGGCA